ATGGATGGATGGATGGATGGATGGATGGATGGATGGATGGATGGATGGATGGATGGATGGATGGATGGATGGATGGATGGATGGATGGAGGAAGGTAGAAAGGGAATGTGGGTTTTCCTGAGCTTTTAAAGACCATTGGGCAACACCTGGCTGGATTGTATTTTCTTTAAACTTAGTTTCTTGATCTTGTATAGGCCTATACGACCAGGACAAAAACTACATTATAGTTTTTCTACACTGGAAAAAATTGAAATCTAGATAAGTAATTTTTTGTTAAAATAAGTTCATTTGTTCTTGGATTGAGAAGGTAAAATAGACAATTTGGCAATGGAACAAGACAAGAAGACAAGAAAACACAATTGCATTGTCTTATTTCAAGTGCATATTATCTTATTATCTTATCTTAAGAGTAGAAATACTCATTCCATTGGCAAACTATTTCATTTACCTACTCAAATTAAAGCTAAATGCACTTATTTCTAGATTGTTTTTCCAGTGCACCTTTACTCTGGAACAAAGTGAAAACCTGAGATGTGCTGAAACAGCTAAAAAACAGATGAAATGGTTTCCTTCTGCGTACCTGTATGGCTATTTCATGTATTTATGCCTTAGCTTTAAATTGTCTAACATTTTTTTTAATTTAAATATCAAGATTTAATATGCTTATCTTGTTTTATACAGTACCTGTTCGGCACATTTGGTTTCCCGTTGTATGTGTGGTTTATAAAACATTAACCTACCTTGGGTAGGATAAGGTTCAACTATGAACTAGGCTCTATGAGAACAATTTTACAGGGAAGCCACCAATGATTCTAGAGTGAAATAGCTGGTGAGGAAGTTGCAGCTTGACTCTGTTTTAAAGGGTCAAGACTTAAATTCACAAAAAATAAACATATATATTCTTGTTTTTCCTCTTTTGATTTATGCTTTCTTTTTTAAACAACCTTCCTTGCAGTCCCTGCAAAGCTGTCACAAAAATTGCTTTTCCACAGCACCACATGACAAGCCAATGGTCTTCCAGGTGCTCCTTCACATGACGGGCTGTGTATCGGCCATAGTTGTTTAAAACCTCCCTTCACTGCTTTAAGCACAATTGCAAACAACATGGCTAGGGTAACTTTTGCAGTGGCTGCAGTTTGTGCTCTCCTTTTGAGAGTGTGCAGTCTCACAAATGGGGAGGAAGACACCCCTCCAATAACAAGCGCCTACTGCAAGATCGGCTGGTAAGACTTCAGTTTTTTTTTTTTAGGGTTGTTTTGCATTGACAAAGAGTGAAAACACATATTTGATACATTTTTCTCATTATGCTCTAAGGCTCCTTGGAATACCATGTGATCAGGTTAATTTGGCCATTGTCACCCAAATGAAAGCGGAGGCCTCATACAAAGTAAGACAGAGAAAATGTCTAATTTAATTAATTATTTGTGGCTGAATCATGAAAACATGTATATTTTTTCTCTATTTGTATTCCAGCTGGTGTCAGTGACTCCGAAACTAATTCAGGCCAATCACACATCTGGGCTCAGTCAGCTTGAGAGTGTTAGCTTCATAATGAGATCCACCACTATAACCCAGGGCTGCTATTTGGAAGTAAGGGAAACAAAACATGGCAAAAGTGGTTTGCAAATGTTTTCATACAAATACAACAGTTTTATATTTTCTGAATCTAAAATCGGTGTTTTATTTGAATTATTGTATCTGATAAATACAGATTGATTCAGACAGTATCACCATGACAACTCCACCCATTTAAACCATAAGGCATGGCATAAAGAGCATATATCAGAGTAATACCCAAAAGGCCCATCGTAACTCTGGAGCTTTAGCCTAGATGAGAAAACTTTTACCTTTATGGTTCGTGTATGGACATAAAGCTGGGTTTTTTTTTTTTTTTT